ATATATATATATATATATATATATATATATAAACATGTAAACTTTCCTCTTCATATTATTTTCATATTTATCAAATATTTTAACAATTAGTTTTACTAAATACTTATAATTTAAAACATTTTATTTTAAAAAACCTTTTAACATCCATTTATTATTTTATCATCTATTTTTACCTAAACATAACCAGAGAAACTTATTTGATTTGTTTATATTGTGAATAATCATTCTTTAAAAAGGTTGCAGCAAAATATTACCACTAAGAGGGATAGCATTGCTTGTTATGTCAGTATATTCTTATAGTTGCACCTTTTTATGATATCGTAAATCTTTGATTAGATTTGTATTAATATTTAATCTCCGTTGACTACGATGTGCTAAAAAATTTTAAGTCAATAAAACAGTTGGCACAGTGCCTTCTCTGATCCAAAGAGGACCAATCATTTAAGTACGAATAATGTTTCTAAAATATGAAGGAAAAAAAAAAACTTTCATTATCATATGCACTTCGTACCTCTTAATATTAATTTAAAAATAAAGTAAAAATAAAAATAGCTTTTTTCCCGATTTCTGATCGCGTGTGAAAGAAAATAGTAGTTAAAAAAAATTCATATTTTTTAAATTTTTTTCTCTATAACGTAAGGATATAATGATTTATAAAATATTTAAATGTAGTTTTATATATAGTCCAGATTTTGAGAAATATATACCAATATTTTTCTGGTAAAAATAATAATAATCTCCATTTCATTTGTTTTTCCAATAGCTTATTAAAGAAAGTACATTTATTTCAAGAAAAAAAGGGTTTTTAATTTATTAAAATAGTATACTACTGTATTTATTATCTCACTTTGAATGCTAGTTTGCTTTTAAGGAACAATATACTAGGCAGTAGGCACTAATATTTTAATGTGTTATCATATATAAATTATATTTCAAAATTATAATAAATAATTTATATTATAGTATAAAATTATTTATATTTATGAGTAATTTATTTTAAATATTAAAAAATAATTTATAAATCATTATAATTATAAATTATAATAAATAAAAACTGAATTATATTTAACATTAAAAAAAATCCTAAAATTTTTTTTATCAATTTTTTTTAAAGTATTATTACACTAGATAATTATTTATATTTTATATATAAGAGTTGATTTAATCTCATTCTCATGTTAGCTGACTTATAAGAGTATTTCTTATTGCTTACAAACAATCTCTATTGGAGTTTGATTACGTGGCATAAAAAGGAAAAAAAATTAGCTTCATTCCTTAATGAAGCATCAGAGCTTGGATGTATGAATCTTTGACATGAAGTGTTGTGATTGGTTGGAGAAACATCTCCCGTCCATGCTGGAACGACAACAAAATACTAGAGAAAAAATAGGAGCAAACTTTCTAGGCGGTCACCATCCTTGCGGCCTGAATCCAACCTCCCCGCCACCCACAGTCACCCGCCATAGCTACCACCGATAGCCACCCACCACCCACACCCACGAGAGAAAGAGAGAACGAGAGGGAACGAGAGAATGAGAGACAGAGAGCGAACATGAGAAAGGGACCCAGAGAAGGTCAAAGATAGAGAAAGAAAAAGAATCAGTGAAAAAGAGAAAGAGAGAAGGTTGGAGATACAGAAAGAAAAAGAATGAG